TGAAGTAAAAACACCCCCGATTTCTTACGAAACATCCTCCTTTAGTATTAGCACGCTAAAGTTGCTCAATTTTACTGTATTTTTTGCATAATTAATTAGGTAAAAACCCGAATTTTCGTTTTACCCCATTTCCTCGGACACATTTTATTTTTCAAACTTTGAAATATTTTTTTTGAATGTATCTCCTTAAAGGGGTTTTCCAGGCAAATTATCAGAATTTTCGATTTTTTTAGCCTGGCCAGCAATTCTCGATATTTACAGTCACGGCCTCTTAAAGAACATCAATCCGTCCCATTCAAGATCCGTAACAACTTTTTTCCATCAAACAAAACATGTGTAATGAAATCTCCTCGGACTCGAATTTCTTTCGATTTCCGAAGTTGACGAATGTCTTAGGTGTTTGACCTAAATGGAAACGAAAAAAACTTTGACGCCATTTCACTAATGCAGCTTCCAAGAAAGATAGAATTACTAACTACTGATAAATTGTGTTTTCCACGTCAAGTATCAGTTTCTAAGTAAGGTACGGTTTCTTAGGTTAAATAGCAATGTGATCTGCGTTAAATTAGTTATGTTGACGTGGCGTTAATTTATTTAACAATCGATCGAGGTTTGTTTACGTGTTCACTGAATATTCTGACCGGGTAAACGACCCGACACAAGCTAAATAAACGAGAAAACGAAAAACAAAAACAAAATCTAGGTTCGCAACGTATGAGTACAAAATTGACATAAGAGACGAAACTTCCTTTAGTATAAAACTATTAAATATAATATCATGTTATATCTACTTTTTTTAATTTCTCGAAGAAATTAGCTAATTTTGTACAACTACTCTGAAATCGAGAGTAAACATGCTACATACTAATATCTTCGGGTGAATTTAGGTTCGAATCGTGTAAGTACGAAACTGAAATAAGTGACGGAAGTTCCTTATTAAATAACATCATGCATTAACAATGCTAATTAGTAGTGTTTGGTTGTTACAAAGAGATCAGATACGTGTGGAGCACCTTCCAGATCACTCTGTGCTCTGACGAGACCTAATAACAGCGTTCAGAAGTCTTCTTAAGGTGTGGTAACCACTCGATCTGTTACTTCCTTGGTTCTATATTATAGGACTTAATTTAACTCATGAGGAGATGATACGAAGCAAGTTTAGGGAAGAAGTCGAAATTTATCAGGAAGAAGAGCTTGAACCATTTCCACAAAGTCCCTTTTTCTAAGCTTTTTCCACCTTTGTATAGTTTCAGTTCTTAGCTGCAGTCGGGCTTGAATAGAATTTAGGATTCATTCCGTGTCTATACTAAGGGTTTTATTTAGCTTAGTGGTTGTTTTTATCCAGAATTAAACTTTACCTGGTTTATTCGACACGACACGACTAGGAATGGTTTCGCTGCCCCCAGATAGGAAATCATTCCATTGGAAGTTATCCCTGGCAGTTCTTTTTGGATTTCCCTCGAAGATTCTCGCGGTAATCGATTTGTGAGTGCGACGGGGTGTCTTGGCCATGAGCAAAATTCGAGAAGATATGATCGCAGTTTGTCGGAAACTTTGTACAACGGTTGCGAATCCCGTAGGGAGCTGAGTGAACCAAATACGTCTAACTATTTTTACTCTGGTTTCTTCAAGAAAACAGGAAATGAAGTTCTTTATTTCGTTGCTGATAACTCTGGCAGTGGCAGATTCATTTCCCTTGGAAAATGAAGGAAACACCGCGCCAGAAACGGAGGTAATGTACCGAAAAACTTCGTGTGTTTCAGATTAGCTACCACGTTCGCAGCGTTAATATATTTTTCACTTTTAAAGCAACTTCTTGTTTGTTTGTTTAAAAAGTTCTCTTCTGGGTCTAGAAAACGCCCCCCTTTTTTTTTTTCTTTTAACTTCATGATGTGAACTGAAACAAGCTAAAAGTTATCACAGCTTCAATGACGACTTGGTTGTCGAAAGTAATCATGGATTGCATCGACTCTGGGAAAGCGTTAACTCTCGAGTCGTCAGCTTTCGAAACTCTTTTAAGATGACCAATTTACATTTTCAATACGTAATATTTTGTAATATCCCCACCGATAAAACACCACAGTTTCTTTAAAAACTTACTCTCTTTGTTCAGCCGCTATTGTATTGGCTTTGCTTCACCACTCCTCATATTTATTCTAAGAAATTCGCAACAATCTGTCAACCGATCAAATGCTAAACTAAAACCAAGAACGACTTGATCATTCCCTTTTAATCCCCGCATTAGACAGTTTATTTGTATACATTCCAACTTTTCATTTTCCCTCTTTAATAATGTGCTTTCTTCAGTCGGCCGTTATAATCGGCCTTTGTTTCATCCCAATCAATCGAAAAGTGCGCTCTGGCTACCAGTGTTCTTGTGTTTTTTTTTTTCCTTTTTTGTATCACGATACTAATCAAACAGCCTACGCTAAAAGCCTGGTTAAGTACTGATTGCTTTTATATGATCATTATTCAACGTTATCATTATTATTTGAAGATTTTAGGGCCTCGTGTACAAGATACTGATGATCTAAGGATGCAACCCAAGATACCCATGATTGGTAAGTGCATTTTAAACTTTTTTAATGCTCTTTAAAAAAATGTCACGAAACAGTTTTTTGATGCTTGAGCAACGATAAATCTCCTTATGCATATATAACTGGCCAACGTTTTAAGTCTTCTGCATCCATATGAGAAATGAAATAGTTGAAACAATCAATGTAATTGCGATAAACTCACTTTGTAGAAGCACTGCACTAACGTGAGTTCGAGCAATGCTCATAAATTTGTGCCTACCTCGCGCAGGCCAGAAGAGGAAACTACCAGCCAATGAACGCCAATCCATTCAGTTCAGATTTCCGAATTTTAGAAAAAGTTGAAAAATGATATTAGTTATTAATTTCATATATATTTTATCCTTGCAGAAACACCTCTCAACGATCCCGCTCAACAAAAGGATTGGGACAGCAACGTTGATTGGTCGCCTAGGGGTGTCAATGTCGGTGGAAGAAAGGAAAATGGTAAAAGGGGCTGGGGCATCAGTGGCAACATTGCGAGCAGCGGTGGTAAACCGAGTTGGAACGTTGGTGTCGATTATCAGCATCGATTCAAGAAACGGGGTTGGGCCAACAATATCGATGCTGATGGACTCAACGCTGGTAAGTCTATCAGCTGATCTATAGTTTTTGTCGGCATCTTTCTGTCGACGTGATTGTTGTTATTGCCGTTGGTTTCCATGAGAAACCAGAAGAGAGAGCCAGAAGAGAAAAATATAACCAATGAGTGCCAATTCGTTCAGTTCAAATTTCCGAAATTCAGAAAAAATTTAAAAATGATAATAATTATTATTTTCATATATAATTTATCTTTGCAGAAACACCTTTGAACGATCCCGCTCAACAAAGTGATTGGGATGGCAACGTTGATTGGTCGCCTAGGGGTGTCAATATCGGTGGAAGAAACGAAAATAATAAAAGGGGCTGGGGCATCAGTGGCAGTTATGGGCGAAACAATGGTAAATCAAATTGGGGCGTTGGTGTCGATTACAAATTCGGTAAACGGGGTTGGCCCAACAACTTTGGTGGTGGTAGGCTCACCACTGGTAAGTCCATCTACAACTTTTGTCGGCATCTTTCTGTTGACGTTATTTTTGCTGTTGCTGTTTTCCATAACAAAACCAAATAGCTTTCGCATCAATACCATGCATCCTTTTCCTAATCGACTCTTATTCGAAGTAGTGACAGCCTCTGGATTTTTTTATGAGATGAACAATCCAGCCATCGACCCTCCCTTCCTTCTCCACCCCTCCCCCCCCGTTTCTTTGCCCATCCATCCACCCATCCATCCATCCATCCATCCACCCACCAACCCATCCATCCATCCATCCATCCATCCATCCACCCTACCAGTCTGCTAAAAGCTGACGCATTTTAAAATTAGAAATTAGAATTTGTTTAGATTAGACATCGTCTTATAATTGAGTTCACCGATAATTGGCAAAGCTACATTACTTTTTTTCTATTTTTCGGCGATTGAACTCTTTTAAGAAAGTTACACTTTTCAGGTTCACATCTCTTACGTTGTTTAATTCCTTATTTTTCAGTCCCAGATGGGAACTTCTTTGGAGGAAAAAATCGTATGTAAGCCAGAATAGTATGGGAAAATATGAAAGAAACTTGCATCAACTTAATTCTCTGTTTGTTTTTTTGTTTTCGAATTAAAAAGTCCCATATTGATCTCTTATTTTTGGTAAATTCTTTTAAATTTCAGGCCTACCTTACCCAGACTATTACAAAAATTGAAGTAAGTGAAGGTCGAGACCGGAATGGCATGGCGAGATATCGACAAAACTTTGCTTAGCTTAATTGCTGGGCCCTAGCACGGAACACAACATTTCGGACTAGACTTTGTAACCGTACGTAGTTAAAAACTGTAACGTTTAAGCAATAGTAACGCAAACAAATAAAGGATTGGAGGGGAGCGAAGTTCAGTGCTTGTGTTTTCCTTTGACACTGGTTTGGGAGGGTCTTCCCGTCCCTCGTATCTAGAGGAACGGATTAAAAAGTTTAATTGAGGTGAACGTTCTCAAAATATAGTAGGAGTGCGAACTTTCCGTGCGGAGTTACCGGCAAACTCTTATGAGACCTTGCGCACTTAGAGATCTATACACAGTCATACCGTGGCTCATCAAATCTTATACCGATACATTTGGATTTTCATCGGAATTCAGTGGCCATATAATTCTCCTTACAGACAGTATTGTCTCCTTACATACAATTGTTCTGATGTCAGTTCTGAGAGTCATAAATTCTGTCTTTTTGATGTTGTATCGATATTGTAAGGAGAATTTCTATCTTGTTTTCCTAAAAGGTAATGACTGGATGTGGTTTATCTAGGAAATTTTGTGGCTACTGCCCCCTAAGGAGGCGAAGCCACGTCAGCAGTCGGGATGAGTGTGTAACAATAGCATTTCGATCTTGACCCAATTTTGACCCAATGTTTCCCGGTGCCATTAACGGAGTATCTTGGTAGTTCGACATTCGCACTCGATACACAGTTTAGTTCTCCTTTTTTTTGATTTCTCGCCTATAGCCTCTGACACATTATGTTTTCGAATTCAATAATTCTTGCCACAATATTATGGAAGACAGCAGAAGACGGTAAACATCTCACAATCGTTTTCGGATTGCGCACGATTTTGCTCTAAAATTTTGCAGTCTTTGACTGTGTATTTTTAATCACCTTTTCTTGCGTAGTCGAGCGAAAGAGTTCAAATGGCTTGGTTACATTTGTCTAGAGGAGAACGGAACTATCGCAGAAAACGGCAATGTGAGAGTTGAACTTAGTATTCCGCTATTTCCTTTTGTATTCCTCAATTCCTTTTACAGGTCATAAGAATAATTTTCGTACAGTATTGGGAAATAAAAGGCAAAGAAATTAGTCTTCATCGGAGCTGCAATCTTCTTGACAACTTTAGGAACAATTTTGGTTAATTTAGATATAATTTTTTTTCCATGTATGTTGGACTTGTCCACTTTCAAACTTTCCACGACGAAATCTTCCGCCAGTTTTTTCAGGTACTCCTTGACGGCCAAGACCCGAGGTAGCGAAGTTTATCATAAAATATTTAGAAAACTGTCAATACATAAAGATATTTCTCGCTTTGTTGGTTAGAAAATAAGGCTTATTCAGACGTTTTTCTATACTCTTTACGACCCAATTTCAGTTTTTCTTCAGGTCTTGAAAATGATATCATAAAATGGCATGACTTCCAAAGCTGTTTCATAAACTGTATTAACCCTACATGATTTGAATATAAACAGAAGTGCGTTGTTAGAGAGTCTGGATGGGGTTAACTGATAACTGGCAAATGGCCAAAATTTTAACTGACAAATGACAAATCGCTGAAAAACTAACTGACAACTGACATTTGTGATAGACTTGTACTGACAACTGAAAAAAGCCCGGATCGCCCTAAATATCCTAAAAACTGGATGCAAAATAAGGACAGTTGATTTATTTTGTTCAATGAAAACATATTTTCCATTGCATATCAGTAGGAGTACGCCAGAGTGTCCTACTTCGTTAATAATTACCGCATACCATCCACCTCAAGGTCATGTGTCACATCAGTTATATGGTCTTTGATACCCAACTCGATCGTCAACTTACGTGATGGCCGTGAATGCTGGTATTTTAAGAGCTGTTGTAAGCTTGTACCGAATTGAGTCGGAAACGGCATTTGAGCGTCACAGAAGCCGCATTCCTATCAAAGATGCTAAAACCGCAATGGCGCTGAAAAAGCACCTTACTTTGTTCCTTAGTCCAAAGGAGTTGTCTAGTGAATATGGCCTCGGAGATTTTGATGTGAAACTTTATCACATGGCTCCGAAATCAGGCGGCAAAAGCGATATTAGGGACTTTAAGCAAACCACGACGGCTACGGCAACGAGAACGTGGAAAAACAATGGATTAATTGGCAGAACAATAGCCCAGCACGTGCGTTTTAAAACTTTGTACATTTCTTAGCCGTCTTTTACAAAACAATAACGTGAAATCACCAAAATTTGCGTCGTCTGCGAGGCGAAACCGCAGCGGCAAATCATTTTAATTTACATTTGGATCTCAACGCTATTTTTATGCGTTATGTTGAGTTTGAGGTCTGGCACCCTATGAGACGGTAAACACATGCAGCCATTTTCCAAATTCTAACTAAAAGTAGAAACATTTTTTAATCGAGGTCTTCCGTGGCGTTGCCGTACTGACTGCTTAAAGTCCCTAATTCTGCGTTAACTACGCACGAGCAATGGAATTTGGAGCTTCCGACCATGCTGGCTGGAACAGGAAGCGAATTAAACAGTATGTACTGGAGTGGTTTGGTATTTGGTATTGGTATAAACATATCAGTTAATAGCCTACTCTTTATTAAAAATCGCCCATTAGATGCCGACTTCTAAGCGCCGTCAGAATTTTCTCATTCTTGAATTCATGTAGATTATGTTTTATGTAGATTATAATGACATAGCTAAAGTGATTGTGAAAAAGTTAATAATAATAACAACAATAATAATGATAATAATGATATCTATATAGCGCCTATCCAATGATAGATCTAGGCGCTTAATAAAGTGGGGGGAAATTTAAAATTAAAGTTAATTAAAGTGAATAAACTTAAAATTGAAGTAAAAGTATATGAAGTCTTTTTCCTAATGGCTAAAGTTAAATCTTATAGAGTCGCAGTGAGGCGACTGACTGGTCCTATTTCATGATGTTTGTTTGCTGGGCATATTCTGGTTTCGTGTGATTTACGAGAGGTTCTTAGCTGGCTCGAATTACATTGTGCAGCATTTGTTACGCAACTCATAGCTTCACAGTAATAATCGCAGAGATATACTATTTTGTTCTTATCGCCTCCTTGATATCTTAAGTGATGAATTCGGAAACTCGAAGCCGCTGAATTCGGAATCTTGAAGCTTGTCCAGGTTCGCCCTTCTTTAGAAAAGCCAACTTCAATCTGTGCTGCAAGTGAAAACATTCTGGTGTGTGCAGACGATTCCCAGCGAGGAATTATACAAGTGACATTACGCTACAATGGAGTTGGCTTTGCTGGTACCGGAGTCAGACTCGTGACCTACCCGACTGGCATTTTCAATATCATATCTATGGAAGATCACAAACAGATAGCTTACTTTGCAGCAGTTGGTCTAGACGGTGGCCTTTACGTTTGCGACCTTTCAGCCTAAAAGTTGACCAACTTCTAAAGAAAAATTCGGAGTCTTGTAGAGAAATCAAAAGACTTTGTGAATTTCAAGACGGGATAGCGTTTACTGACTCGGGGGATCGAAAGGTAAAGTTCTTCAGTCCTAAGAAAATCGTTAAAACCTTGATGGGCTCTGGTCAGAAAGGAGCAAGTGAAGGAACGGATGAAACGTGTACTTTTACGCAAATTCATAGCATCTGTTCTATGGAGAAGACTCTATTCATATCGGATGTGGCTACAGGTTGTATTAAACTAGCTTCGGGATTCAGTGGTATTGTGTCGTACTGTGTCGTTCTTAGAAGTCTTAGAAGTGGTACTGTGTAGTTCTTGGAAGTCTCTAATGTCAGTTTTGGTATCGGAGCCCAAAGCATAGAGAAAGCACAGTTGTCTCTTCAAGATGCCGTAGACAAAGTATCACATCACATGTAAATGACAACATCACAAAGACCGTTTCTCAGGTGAAACAATAGCATAGTATAAAGAAAACCACAGCAACCAACGGCCCTGAAGGAACTGTGTCTCATAAAACTCAAGTCTCACTTAAACTTCTCGAAGAAGGAATGCACCGCCTGCACAACAGCATAGCTTCAATTAACAACGATTATCTCCAAGATATTGAATTGAGCACATTACTCACAACAGTTGTGGAGAATCTACATGCAGTTTCACATTTTAAGCATGAGACCTTCACCGCATTACAGCATTCCCAAGACTTTGGATTAATTACCAAGGAGTCGTTGAAGAGAGTAACGAAATGGGCAGCCAAGTATTTTACTCATGAAAAATCCTACTATCCTGTCCCTCAGACCAGCACGGAGTTTGCAAATGTAAACTTTATGCGACCTCTACCTTCAGTAGAGATCGACAACGACATTGAAAGTGCTATGAAAAAATTTGTGGAGAGATATCGTCCCTTAAGGTAGAGGACCGTTTTGGAGGAAACTACCAAGGACAGGGTAGGGGCTTTACCACCGGCCGTCTACACGAAGCAACAAGATTCTACCAAAGTGGACTTGTTGGCGGGACTAGGTAACGATTTCGACTCGGGAGATCAGTCAGTAGGGTTCAGCAGCGACAAAGGAGCTGTTCGAGCTACTTCGAAAGGTGGGAATGTGACAGATATCACATTTGGTGACGACTGTATCGTTGAAGTGGCAGCTGCTGAGGTGCGAACACATGCAGACGAATATTACAACAGTTACAACTGGGTTTTACACGTAGTACTACCGTTGACAAGTTGAGATTTATGCTCCCAGATTCTCAGTGTTTACGAGCGTTCAATAAAAGTTTCTTCCTCTTCTTCCTCTTCTTTTTTTCTTTTTTTTTTTTTCGGTTGTTTTTACTTCAGAATGCGCGGACATCTGCTGAAATATCGAAAAATGTCCATTTCCCGTCTTCTTTGGAGCGACAGATGGAACTTCATGGAGAAATACAGCGTCACGACATCGTAATAACGTATACGTTTATGACAAATGACCGGTGATGGGATAGTTTTGTGTAGATCAACCGACTTTAACATGTTTGAAATGACTTACAAGTATGAAATTGTATCCTCAGAGGATTTCGGATTGCTCAAAGTCCCGTGAAAGAAGGTGCAGCACTCGGAATCTGGATGATATGCACATGATTTGAGGTATATGTTTGTAGTTGCGTCGAGTAGCCCTCCATGAGGGCTGATCAATTTTTTTAAAAGATGACAACCAGAGGCAGATTTCTCTTCGGGGTATTGCTCATAACATACCATTATTTACAGGCCTTGCATGTTTTATTTGTCTGAGACGCTGGTTGTTGAGAACATTAGATGTAAACATCGCCAAATTATGCAATAGCTGACTTTTGAGCTTCGTTTGCGAATGTCCCCTGTAAAAAGTAGAGGCCGGTCTGTAGAGATTTTTACTTGTTTAAAATCTAGAATATCATAGCCAACTAGGTGGTGGGTTTCAGTTCCAGAATCGGTGCACTTTTGGAGAAATTCATATAAACGTTTTCCCTGTTTTACCCAACATCAAAAATGACCGAAACTGTACCAAGATTGGTGCGTTCACATTCACTCTCAGGGAAAATTAAATGTATCAAAGCGAAGACAATTGGTGTCGCTATATATGGTATAAGTACCAATCTGTAATGTTGTACTTGAGATAGAGAAATAAACATTATACTCTTTTTTTGAGATGCTTTAGTATGAAAATGAGGCCCCAGGCCTCGAACAAACCGCTGTTGTTACCATGGCAACAAAAGTGCTGCAACCTTTAAAAAGGGCATTTTTGTGCATCCCCTCCTGAGTGCCTAACTGCGTGCAAAATATGAAGGAGAGTTGAAAATTTTCATTTCCCAAGATGTTTGATTCTTACAGAGACTTGTCCCTAATAGCTAAACTTACACTTCTATTGTAAATCTTATCAATCTTTCAATAAAGCTTACAAATTAGGTCTGAGAGGTGCTTAGGCGCATGACCGTGCAAAATTTTATAAGTTGTTAAAATTATCTTATAATGTATCCTGGCGCGCACTGATAACCAATGTAATTCTGCGAGCAGAGGTGTCATGTGACAGGACTTGGGTGCGCGATAAATAAAAGTCTTGCACTAGCATTCATAACACGTTGCAGTTTCCTAGTTTGATTCTCCGGAATTTTATATAAAATGCTATCACAATAGTCCAATCTACTACTAATAAAAGCATGAACTAGCTAGTTTTTCAGTTGATTCTCTGGATAGATATTTTCTAATATGACGTATGTTGTACAAGTAAAAGAAAGCGCTGCTACATGTGTTTGTAGCATGAGTTCCCATATCTAGATGCGTATCAAACCCCATGTGCCCAGACTGCTCGCAGACACTACAGGAGAGACTTCAGCCTGTCCAGCCTTGATGCTTTGGATTGAAACTTTTGAGAGTTGCTAGCGACTACCTAAAATCAAGAACTCAGTTTTGTCATCATTGAGCATAAGCTCAATCGTTCTAGAAGGATCTCATGTTCGACTGTGTCGAATGTAGAGCTTAAGTCGAGAAGCACCAACATCGTAACTTGACCCTTATCCATTGCCATTAGGAGATCGTTCTTCACCTAGACTAAGTACCGATAAATTGCGTTTTCCATGTTAAATATCAGTTTCTAAGTAGGGTACGGTTTCTTAGGTTAAATAGCAATATGATCTGCCTTAAATTAGTTATGTTGACGTGGAGTTAATTAATTTAACGATCAATTTTTTTAATTTCTCGAAGAAATTAGCCAATTTTATTTTTTTATTAACTATCCTGAAATCGAGAGTAAACATGTTAATATCTTCGTCTGAAATTAGGTTCGAATCGTCTGAGTACGAAACTGATATGAGACGAAAGTTCCTCATCAAATAACATCATTCATTCACAATGCTAATTAGTAGCGTTTGGTTGTTACAAAAAGATCACATACGTGTATAGCACCTCCCAGATCACTCTGTGCTCTTACGGGGCCGGATAACAGCGTTCAGAATTCTTCTTAAGGTATAGTAACCTGGGTCGATCTGTTATTTCCTTTGTTCTATATTATAGGACTTAATTCACGACTATGAGAATCCCGCACAGGTCTAAATTTTTTTTTTCAGGCCTCATTTTCACTACTGCTTAAGAGCGATTTTGTAAATTGACCGACCGAAAATCGAAAAATGTGGCACATGGTCGAAAAATTGAAAACCTTCATATTTTCCCAGACACCTTATAGTGAACATAGAAACGTGGTAAGGTTTTTTTTTTTTTTCCAGACTTTAATACTCTAAGAAGTCGAAATATATTGAGATAAAGAGCTTGATCCATTTCCATAAAACGGTTGTTTTGCTTCAGTTCTTAGCTGCAGTCGGGCGTAAACAGAATTTAGGGTTCATTCCATGTCTAAAGTAAGGGGTCTTTTTAGCTTGGTGGTTGTTTAAAATCCAGAATTGCACTATATCTGGTTTATTCGACAAGACACAACTAGGAATGGTTTCGCTGTCTCCAGATGAGAAATCGCTCAGTTAGAAGTTATCCCTAGGAGTTATTTTAGGATTTCCCTCAAAGATTCTCCGGGTAATCGATTTGTGAGCGCGACGGGGTGTCTCAGCCATCAGAAAAATTTGAGAAGAGATGATCGTCCTTTTTCGGAAACTTTGTACAACGGTTACCCAGTGACACAGATACTTATTCATCTAACTATTTTTACTCTTGTTTCTTCAAAAAAACAGAGTATGAAGTGCTTTGTTTTGTTGCCTATAACTCTGGTTGTGGCAAATTCATTTCCCTTGGAAAACACCGCGCCAGAAAAGGAGGTAATGTACCCAAAAACTTCATGTGTTTCAGATCAGCTACCACGTTCGCAGTGTTAATATATTTTTCACATTTGAAGCAATTTTTCAATTTTCAGGAGTGTCTTATTTTTTTAAATAAAAACGTTCTGTTACGGGTTCAGAAAACGCCTCATTTTTTTTTCTTTTTTATATCATGATGTGAACTGAAACAAACTAATAGTTATCACAGGCTCAATGGCGACTTGTTTGTCGAAAGTGATCAGGGATTGAATCGATTCCGTTTCGTCAGTTGTGGGCTTTTGGTTCACTGTTATCAAACATCTTTATTGACGACTTTAGTTTCAGACAATCAAAGAAGTGCGTTCGAATCCTAAAAGGAAGTCACATTCTTTTGAAATGGTCAGATAATAAAGTATACGAAACGATTTGATATTCACCCTGTGAGTCGGCTAGGTCCACAGCTGACAAATGACTTACATTGGTATTATGACATCACTATAACGTATCTCATGAGCGGATAAATTAACTTAATGATCAATAATAGAATTTCTTGACCAAACAGTGCTAACTTTCTGGGCCTCAGCTTTCGAGACTCTTTAAGATGGCCGATTCCCTTTTTCAACTCAGTTGATAAAATCAATTTATCTTGTAATACCCCCACCGATGCAACACCACAATTTCTTTAGAAACTTACTCTCTTTGTTTAGAGATTGCTTTGGCTTTGCTTCACTACTACCCTTATTTAGTCTAAGAAATTCGCGACAATCTGTCAACCGATCAAATGCTGAACTAAAACAAATATCGACTTGATCATTCCCTTTTATCCCCGCATTAGACAGTTTATTTGTATACATTCCAAGTTTTCATTTTCCCCTTTTGATATTTTGCTTTCTTCAGTCGGCCGTTATAATCGGCCTTTGTTTCATCCCAATCAATCGAAAAGTGCGCTTTGTCGTGTTCTTTATCAGTGTTCTTATCGTTTTTATTTTCCTTAATGTATCATGATACTTGATCAAAAAGCCTACGCTATAAGACTGGTTAGGTATTGATTGCTTTTATATGATCATTATTCAACGTTATCATTATTATTTGAAGTTCTTGGGGCCCCATGCACAAGATACTGGTGATCTTCGGATGCAACCGAAGATACCCATGATTGGTAAGTACATTTTAAATTTTTTTTAATACTCTTTCAAAAAATGTCACGAAACCGTTCTTTGATGCTTGAACAACGATAGATTCCCTTATTCACATGTAGTTTGACGGCCAACGTTTTAAGTCTTCTGCATATATATGAGAAATGAAATAGTTAAAACAATCAATGTAATTGCGATAAACTCACTTTGTAGAAGCACTGCACTAATGTGAGTTTGAGGAATGCTCCAAAATTTGTGCCTACCGCACGCAGGCCAGAAGAGAAAACTACCCGCCAATGAACGCCAATCCATTCGGTTCAAATTTCCGAATTTCAGAAGAAAATTTAAAATAATGATAATTATTGATTTCATATATAAGTTACCCTTGCAGAAACACCTCTGAATGATCCCGCTCAACAAAAGGATTGGAATGGCAACGTTGATTGGTCGCCTAAGGGTGTCAATGTTGGTGGAAGAAACGAAAATGTTAAAAGGGGTTGGAACATCGGTGGCAGTATTGGAAAGAGCAATGGCAGATCGAGTTGGGGCATCGACGGCAATATTGGAAAGAGCAATGGCAGATCGAGTTGGGGCATCGCACCG